TACAGGGCTAAGTGAGATTTTGTGTCAGGGTTTTTAACCCAAGACTTTAGTTTTAAAATCATAAAGACTGTTATATATGTTTAGTGCTTTTATAATTTGATTTCACAGACATTTCAATTGATTAAATAACCCTAAATCTTAAGAAGTACTTTTTTTTTTCTTTTAAAGATGTAGAGTAGGCTATGGCCACTATGTTTCTTAGCTTTGGCCCCCTCCCTTACCTTGGGAAGGTGAATCTCCTCTCTCTCTCCTCTCTCTAATTTGCTTTCTAAATAAACTATGTTTTCCAATCTAAAAAAAAAAAGATGTGGAGTACAATTCAGGATTAGGTCTACAAGTGGTCATCATACAGGAAAAATGTGGGCCTCCTTTTGGCCTGGTTTGAGATCAAGTACCCTTATTGATGTTATGTGCCCCAACCTGCCCTCAGCAGTTTACAGCTACTGCCAATCCCTTTTGTACAGTATTATGGTAAATGTTCAGGGTCTGCTTATATGTGAGAACATGTGGTACTCAGTTCTTTGTTTCTATGATAGATCACTGAGTATTATAAACTCTAAATCCATCCAAGTTGCTGCAGAGTCCATAATTTTGTCCTTCTTTATGACTTCATAATATTCCATCAGAATATTATAATATAATCCTATTTTATTATAATTTCTATGTATAGTACAGTTGACCCTTGAACAACTCTAGAGTTAGGGACACTGAACCCCCCCTCGAAGTAAAGTAAAAAACCAACCTATAACCCTTAACTCCCCCAAAACTTAACTAAATAGCCTACTGTTGACCAGAAGCCTTACTGATAACATAAACAGTTGATTAACACATTTTATAGGTTACATGTATTATATATTGTATTCTTAAGAGAAAATAACATATTAAGAACATCCTGAGGAAAATAAAATATATTTACTAATCATTAAGTGGAAGTGGATCATCATCAAAGCCTTTATCATCGTAGTCTTTACCATGAGTAGGATGAGGTGAAGGAGGAAGAGGCTGGTCTTGCTGTCTCAACGCTGATAGAGGAGGTGGAAAAGGAGGCAAGAGAAGCAGGCACACTAAGTGTAACTTTCTAACTTTATTGCTTTTTCTCTAAAAATGTGTCTATGGTGCCGATCCTCCTTCTACTGTTAGCTGTAGTTTCAGTGCTCATGTCATAGAAGGGACTGTGTCTTTTTTTTTTTTTTTTTTTTTTCAAGAGTTGGAGTCTCACTCTCTTGCCCAGACTGGAGTGCAGAGGCCACTCCCGGCCACCGCAGCCTCGACCTGCTGGGCTCTGGCAGTCCTTCCGCCTCAGCCTTCCAAGTAGCCAGAATTACAGGCATGCACTACCACGCCTGGCTGATTTTTTGATTTATTGTAGAGATGAGGTCTCGCTGCCCAGGCAGGTCTCAAACCCACAGGCTCAGGCAATCCACTCACCTCAGCCTCCCAAAGGTGCGGGATTACAGGCTGAGCTACCGAGCCCGGCTGGGTCTGTGTCTTAAAAGAAGTCAAAAGCAGTCTTTAATAGTTAGGACTCGCCTGCCAGATTGTCTAATGTCAATTTGTTTTTGGCACTTTTCTTCTACATGTTCTTCCCAGTCATCTGGCACTGTTTCAGAAGCCCTCATCTCCATCAAGTCATCTTCTGTTAATTCCTCTGGTGTGATGTCTGTTAGCTCTTGGATTTCTCCAAGATCCATGTCTTGAAACCCTTTTCCACCACTTTTTTTTGCCATATCTACAATCTCTTTCATGATATATCCTTGATTGGCTCTGTTGTTTATCCCGTGAAGTCAGGCATAACAGTTTTCTCCAGCAGGAATTTTTTGTTTCAGTCTTGATGGCTTTCACAACCTTTTCTGTAACAATTGACATACTCAGTGTATAATCCTTCCAGACTTTCATGATGAACCCTCTATCAGGATTCTCCTCCATGGCACTGATGATATTTTCCATAGAGTACCATGTGTAATGAGCCTTAAAGGTCCTTATGACCTCCTGATGTAGAGGCTAAGTTAGAGATGTGGAGCCAGGTGCAGTGGCTCATGCCTATAACCCCAGCAACGTGGGAGGGTAAGACAGGAAGATTGCTTGAGGCCATGATTTGAAGACCAGCCTGGGTGACATAGTGAGACTTCTTCTCTACAAAAAAATGAAAAAATTAGCTGGGCATGGTGGTGTGCACCTGAAGTCCCAGGATCGCCTGAGCCCAGAAGGTCGAGGCTACATTGAGCTGTGATCATGACACTGCATTCTAGCCTGGGTGATAGAGTGAGACCCCCACTCAAAAAAAAAAATTCTGTCTCCCTATTAAGTTTGTTTTCTGCCACAAGACCAACTATTACAGTGATAGAAGTGTGGACATCTAAAGACGTCAGTGTTATTAACGCAAGTTCTGTTTACCTAGTCTAGTTCAATCAAATGATGTTTTCCAAATAATTTGATTAGCTAAAAATTTAGGTGAATTGAATAGGTATCAGTTTAAGTCCCATGTTGAATGAATAACACAGCAGTTCTTTAAAGAAGAAATTAATTTCTCTGCTTAAAAATAATGACTTAGGCCGGGTGAGGTGGCTCATGCCTGTAATCCCAGCACTTTGGGAGCCTAAGGCAGGTGGATTGCTTGAGGCCAGGAATTTGAGCCCAGCCTGGGCAATAAAACAAGACCTCATCTGTACAAAAATAAAATTTAAAAAGTAGGCAGGAGTGATGGCACCTGCCTGTAGTCCCAACTACTCAGCAGACTAAGGTAACAGGATCTCTTGAGCCCAGGAGTTTGAGGCTGCAGTGAGCTATGATTGCACTACTGTACTCCAGCCTGGGTGACAGAGTGAGACCCTATCTCTAAAATTAAAAACAAAACAAAACAGAGAAATGCCAAGGTGAGAGGATTGCCTGAGCTCTGGGGTTCGAGACCAGCCTGGGCAAGTTGGCAAGACCTCGTCTCTACAATAAATCAAAAAATAAGCTGGGCATGGAAGTGTGTTCTTGTAGTTCTAGCTACTTGGAAGGCTGAGGTGGAAGAATTGCCTGAGCCCAGCAGGTCGAGGCTGTGGTGGCCGTGAGCCGTGCCACTGCACTACAGCAACAGAGTGAGACTCCAACTCAAAAAACAAAAAGATTTATGTGGCTTAATTTTTAACTTCTTACAAGTTTTTAAGATTTTGACTATTGCCTAGTGAAAAGACTTTAGGCATCTTCCAACATTGTTTTGGGGAAAAGTGGGAGTTGTAGTGTCACTCATCTTGGAACAGTGGACTAGGCCAGCATTTTCCTCTAGAGAAAATGGGTACGGTTTGAAAAGAATCTGAGTTGAAAGGGCTGTTGTTTTTTTGTTTTATTTTTTTTGACTGCAGTGAAATGAAATTCACCTAAATTTTTAACTAATCAAATTATTTGGAAAACATCATTTGATTGAACTATGCAGTGAAATGTTATTCAGCCTTTAAAAAGAAGGAAATTCTGACATATGCTACAATATGGATGAACTTTGAAGACATTGTGCTCAGTGAAATAAGCCAGTACAAAAGGACAAATACTGTACGATTCCATTTATAAGTATATAAGAGCTGGGCATGATGACTCACGCCTATAAACCCCTGCACTTTGGGAGGCCGAGGCGGGAGGATTGAGATGAGCTGGGCAACACAGCGAGATGTTTTCACCACAAAAAAACAACAACAAAACTTAGAGACAGAAAATAAAATGATGACTGCCATGGGTTATGGGAAGTGAGGGAGGGAGGAGGTAGTACTTAATGGGTACAGAATTTCAGTTGGGGAAGATGAAAAAGTTCTGTAGAGGGATAGTGGTGATGATGCGCAACAGTATGAGTGTACTTAATGCCATGGAATCGTACACTTGAGTATAGTTAGTGCTCATTTCAGCAGCACATATACTAAAATTGGAATGCTACAGGGAAGATTAGTAAACAAAATGTTAAAATGGTGAATTTTATCCTGTGTGTATTTTACCACAATTTTTAAAAGTATGAAGAAGAAAAGTGCTCAGTCTTTAAGTGATTGGGACACTGAGGGTACTTTAGAATGGAAAGCAAAAAGAGCATATAGTCAGACTTACCTACCAGGAGTGGGCATGTATAATTTTTAAGATGACTCATCAGATCCTTTTGAGAACATGGAGAAGAGAATATAATAAAATATAAGTATGTCATTCTTTAAGGGCTTTTCAGGATCTGGAAAATTGAAAATATCTACAATAAAATCTCAACAATTTGGACCAAATGAAGAAAGGACAATTTGATTCAAGTAAATAACAAAAATCACAAACTGTAATGAATAGATAAGAATTTATAATTAAGGCATTTAGTTATTGAGCACCGTAGTATTTGTGCAAATACTTTGTGAATGAATTTTAACAGATGTTCCTAAAGTACTTATGAAGCATTTGTGTCTCTTCAAGTAAATCTCAGTATACCAATTTCCTTGCAAACTCTTATTTTTCTAAATTAGAAATAACGTGTTATTATTTTATTTGCTGTCTTACACTTTAGTGAGTTTTATGAGGTTTTCTCTGTAGTTTTATGTTCTGAATCTTTATGTTCTGATTGTTATGGATATCCCTGAAGAAATTAGGCCAAGAAAATATTCCTGTTATGTTTTTTACCAGTTACCGGTATATAGATAATAAATCTTAACTACTGACATCAGGCTATGTATAGATTTTGATTTTAGTTGTTATTAATTATATAGGCCAAATGAAGACTAAGCATGCTTGGTGTAGATTCTGAATATTGTGTTTTTAAAACATAGACACCAAAAAAATTAAAAATACATAAGCACTTAGTGTCCTGTATTTACTAATATTTTATTGTAATTACTTAATGACTTTTACCCTAATTCAGTTTCTATTCCAGGAAAGTATGTGTAAAAATAGAGGTCAGCAGTCAAATAGAAGTTGAAAATGTGAGATTTGAATTTTGTGCATTTTATATGTATAGGTTTATCTTTTATTGCATTGGGATAAATTTTTTTTCTTTTTAATTTTAGTAAAAAATCCCAGAAATGGGATGAAATGAACATCCTGGCGACATATCATCCAGCAGACAAAGACTATGGTTTAATGAAAATAGATGAACCAAGCACTCCTTATCATAGGTAATGTTATAAGCTTCTGGATAACAGCTGGTTTGAATTTGTTTTATATTTGGGTTTTTTTTGTTTGTTTTTTTTTTGAGTTGGAGTCTCAGTCTGTCGCCTGGACTGGAGTGCAGTGGCCGCTCCCGGCCACCGCAGCCTCGACCTGCTGGGCTCCGGCAGTCCTTCCGCCTCAGCCTTCCAAGTAGCTGGAACTACAGGCACGTGCTACCATGCCTGGCTGATTTTTGATTTATTGTAGAGATGAGGTCTCTCCAAGTTGCCTAGGCGTGTCTCGAAAGGCGCGGGATTACAGGCTGAGCCACCTAGCCCGGCATGTTTTATATTTGTTATTGGCACACTAGTCAATAACTAACTGCATTTTTTTTAAAGTAATAATATAAGCAATGTGTAACTTTAAAATTATGAAGTCATTTTGTACATTATAATTTTAGTAGTAAATAATAGGCATTAATTTGTTGCACCTCCATGGTGTTAGCTACTAGTGGTCAACATAAATAAGAGAGTTTTACCTTCCTTGAAAGAAAGATGAGATGGGTTTGTTTACTTCCCAAGTAGAAATCAGGAGCTTACTCGGTATTTGCAGAAAAAGGTAACAGCATGAATGGTAACTTGTTTAACCCACTGAAAGACAAGTAGTCATTTCTACTGCTTCATGTCCTTATTTTTGAACGTATGTAATATTGTAGTTCAAGTCATTACATTGTAATTTTTGGCAGTTTTAAGTCAGAATTTTTAAAATGACATTGTGTGGAAGTAACCAGTATGAAGACAAAAATATTGCACCAATAAGCATTATGAGAAGATAGAAGTCAGGCACAGTGGCTCACACCTGTAGTCCCAGCAGTTTAGGAGGCTGAGGTGGGAGGATCGATTGAGTTCAAGAGTTTGAGACCAACCTGGGCAACATAGCAAGACCCCATCTCTAACAACAGCAAAAAAGATGGAGATTCTAAATAAGTACACGTACCTAATTAAATTTATGCCTAAACTTGTATTGAAAACATAAAGGTTTTCCGGACTAAATGTTTCATCATTGAAGTAAAACAGCATAAATCCAGACACTGCCTGAGTTAAAAATACTGTATTTTAAATCAGTGGATGAAAACTTTGGAAGATAATTTGAGATAACTTGATACTAACAAAAACAGTAAAAAAAACAAGAAAAAGAAGATTTTAAAGATTGTGACAAGAGTAGAAAGAAATAATAAAATAGGTACAGACACTGAAACATGTATTTTTTTGTTTGTCTTTAAAAAGACGGGGTAGGCCTGGTACAATGGCTCACGCCTGTAATCCCAGCACTTTGGGAGGCTGAAGCAGAAGGGTTACTTAAGCCCAGGAGTTCAGAACCAGCCTGGACAACATAGCGAGACCTAGCTGGGTGTGGGGACACATGCCTTTAGTCCCAGCTGTTTGGGAGACTGAGGCAGAAGGATTGCATTGAGCCCAGAAGGTTGAGAATGTGGTGAGCTGTGATCATGCCACTGCCATCAGCCTGAGTGACAGAGACCCCGACCCAAAAATTAATTTTTTTTAACTTTAAAGAGTTTTGTTTTGTTCTCTTTTGTTTTTGTAGAGTCAGGGTCTCACTGTGTTGCCCAGGCTGGTCTTGAACTCCAGGCCTCAAGCAGTTTTCCCACCTCAGTCAGCCTCCTAAACTTCTGGGAATACAGGTGTGACTCACTGTGACCGACCAAAAAGAGTTTTATCTTACCAAAGGTGTTTTGTATAAAAAGCTCATGTCTTGCTACCTAAGAATCTCACAGTTAGTATACAAAAAGTTATTACAACTTTTATATACACATGCATACATACATACAATTCGTATGTAAATGTTATAACTAGATTTTCTATAGAAAAATTCTATGGCCAGGCTTGGTTGCTCAGCCTGTAATCCCAGCACTTTGGGAGGCTGAGGCGAGTGGATTTCCTGAGCCCGCGGGTTCTAGACCAGCCCGGGCAACATGGCAAGACCTTGTCTTTACAATAAATCGAAAAAAAAATTAACCGGGCGGGGTAGTGCGCACCTGTAGTTCTGGCTACTTGGGAGGCTGAGGAGGCAGGATTGCTGGAGTCCAGCAGGTCAACAATGGGGTGACCATGAGTGTGCCACTGCACTCCAACCTGGGTAACGGACTGAGACTCCAACTCAAAAAAAAGAAAAATTCTACGAATTAGCAAATTATTTTATCATACTCTGCTTTCAGTCCAGTAATGTAGATGAGTTTATTTCAACTTGTCTTGGAAAAAATAGCTTGATCTGAAACTATAGAACTTATTTTAACAGATTCCTTAATAGGGAGGTTGGGCGTGGTGGCTCAAGCCTGTAATCCTAGCATTTTGGGAGGCTGAGGCGAGAGGATTGCCTGAGACTGCGGGTTTGAGACCAGCCTGGGCAACATGGTGAGACCTCGTCTCTACAATAAATCAAAAATTAGCCGGGCATGCCTGTAGTTCCAGCTACTTGGAAGGCTGAGGCAGAAGGAGATCGCCTGAGGCCAGCAGGTCGAAGCTGGAGTGGCGGGAGTGTGCCACTGCATTCCAGTCTGGATGATGGAGTGAGACTATGACTCAAAAAAAAAAAAAAATTAACAAGACAGCATATAAACCAGCAGTTTTTTAATATGCAATGGAGTTCTGCTTTATATACTTTTCAGTGGCTTAAGAATTAAGGATGCCTATGTTTTCAGTGAAGTAGGGAGCAGATTTTTCATTAATGGGTAGAAAGTAGGAAAGCCAAATAACTTTTAAAATCTTGATTTAGATGTTTAGGATCTAATTTTCTTATCTTACCTAGTCTTATATCTACATAGATCATTTGTCGCTATCTTAAAATTAATGTAACAAATACATATTCTAAAACCAGAAAGTGGCTTATTTTGCATTACTTATTCCCTTCAACTGACTGGAATAATTGAATTTATAGTATTTTTATTAAGATGATGTTGAGTTTTCAGTACAGTTGTTCCTCAGTATCCATGGCGGATTTGTTCCAGGCCCTTCCTCTAATAGCTAAATCCACAGATGTTCAAGTCCCTGATATAAAATGGCATTGTACTTGCATATAACCTATGCACATACTCCTGTACTGTGTAAATTTGTAAATAGTTGTTATCTTGTATTGTTTAGGGAATAATGACAATTTTAAAAGTCTGTACATGTTCAGTATAGTTGTAATTTTTCTTTTTCTTAGTTTTTTTCTTTTTATAATTTTGTTACATTTTTTTTTGTTTTGATTTTTAAATAGAGATCAAGTCTTACTATGTTTCCCAGGCTGGTCACAAAATCCTGGTCTCAAGCAGTCCTCTCACCTTGGCCTCCTAGAGTGCTGGGATTACAGGTTTAAGCCACCTTGCCAATCTGTGGTTGGTTGAATCCACGATATGGAACCCATCAATATAGTGGGCCAATTGTATTTATTTTTATGCTTACTTTAAAAAAATCAATTGGAATCTTTTATTGATTGGTGCTATACTTTTATATATTTTCATTGACTAGAAACTTTTTTTTTTTTTTTTTTGAGTTGAAGTCTCACTTTGTCACCCAGACTGGAGTGCAGTGGCACGCTCCGGGCCACCACAGCCTCAATCTGCTGGGCTCTGGTGATCCTAAAGTTAAACCTCAAAGATGGCAGTAGAACTATACACATTTTAAATACGTTGATAGAATTGTTTTTCTATCTTTTTTCTGGTTGAAACATTATATTTCAGGTATTAATTGCAATGTACTTGTCATCCTAGTATGATAGGGGATGATGAAGATGCATATAGTGATACAGAAGCCACTGAAGCCATGACTCCAGATATCTTAGCTAAGAAGTAAGTATTGATGACAATAAAGCATTTTCACTTATGTTGTCTTTAATTGTGCAGAGTTAAAGGGATTTAACCTTTACTTGTACTATTGTAAACAAAAGGCTAGTTTATCTAGATTTTTCATGCCAACTTCTTTTTCCCTTTTTTTGTACCCTGAGTCACCAACTTTTTGTAGCCTAGTTTCTTGAGTAAAATCAAGGAATGCCGGTGGTGGTTAAGATTAGAGTTCATGAAACTGGGATACTGAAGTCTGTCACTTCCGGGTGGGTTTTTATTTTTATTTTTAATATCTTGCCACTTGTATTTTAAAGGTGGAAGTGAGAAAGGCAAAAGTAAGTAAGTAAATTCTTGAAATGACAGCTCTTTTCCTTTGCTGGTCATTGATTTCTAGCATTCATTCCACTGTTCTTATGGCTTATTGGTTTCTGTACCCATTTCTACTCACTTGCTTTTTATTTTCCTCATCAGGTTATGGCTAGCATATTAATACTCTTTAGATGTTTTTATGAGACTCAGCAGTTAAATAAGACTCTTAAATAGTAAAAGAATATCACAGTGTTAATTTATTTATAAATGTTGTATAGATTAGCTGCTGCTGAAGGCTCGGAGCCAAAGTATCGAGTTCGGGAACAAGACAGCAGTGGAGAGGAGGATAGTGACCTTTCACCTGAAGAACGAGGTAGTTTATTTCCTTTACCATTTTCAGCATTATGCTAATCATTTTTGCTAAGATAATGCATTATTTGGAATGCATTATTTGGAAGGTTGGCAAATGTTTTTCATGTTTGGGGAGTAGAGGGAAGGGAAATGAAAAGCAACATCTTTGTATTTCACATTACTTGTGTGGGTTTATTGTATAGTAGTTTTTTTAACCCCTGATTTTAAAAATTTGAGAATGTATTATTACCATCTTTAAAGTAATGATAAGTATTCTTTTTTAATACTTTTTATTGTCTGATGTGGAGCAGATACTCAGTAAATACTTATTAAATGAGTCATTAAGTGCTTTTTAGATGGAAATGTGGAAAACTGTAAGAGCTCATTTCCAGTTGCTTGTGCATTTTCTGTTGTTGACAGCGGTGCAACTTATCAGATGAACCAAGATGGTCAGATGCAAAGTGAAGGTTTTTATTAGGTTCCTCAAACAATAAGAGCAGTATTGTCATGGGAAAGATCAAGACAGTCTTCTCCTTAGCAGGAATGGAAGAAGCTCTTATAGCCCATATAGCCCATACACAGTTAAGGCATTGCTGCCTCTTCAGGGTTTCTGTTTTCACAAGTAAAAGTTCCCTGTGGAGGTGGGGAGAGAAGGAATCTGTTTTAACCTTTTTTCTTTTTATACTTTATGACGCATGTAAATGTATAGTCTCCTCAAGAATTTAAAAACTTTGTGTAGTTTATTTTCAACTGTTTTTTAAAGAGAAATCAAGCCTATGAATGGCGGGGGCGGGGAGATGCAAGAAAAACAAACACAAAAGAAGAAAGAAACTAGCGTAGCGTGTACTTGAAGCTTTGCAATGTGGGGACTTACCTGTACTGTAAGAAGTTGAGAAACTTTATAACTAAGACTCCAGGATCTTTGTCATGTGCAACTGCTGAGGTATAATTTAATATTCTTTCCTGTCATCTTCAGAATATAGCTGTTCAACAGAACTGTGATAGGCTGAGCCTATACTTGTACAAAAGAGAAATTTTACATGTAGCATATTCAAGTTGTATTCTATCCTCTCAATGACTTATTTTCCCAATATACACTCCTGAGGTCCTTTAAAGGATTTCAGGTAGAAATCGTTTCCAGAGTTTGTTTCTTCATTACACTCTAACACGATCTATGAGAATAAGGGATGTATTACTAATGTATATTGTCAGCTTTAATTAAGGGATCATTGATCTTTGAGTTGCAGTTCTAAGAGTCAGCCAGCAGGAGGAGCCATTTGACTAATTATAATAATTTCACTAAATCAGTTTTCTCTGGTAGAGTTACTGGGTTGTATAGGTGTTCTTTAAACAGTTATGGTCTGAAAAATTGTTTATTGATAGTAGATTGTCTTAGAAAAAATTACAACTGATAGCATAGCAATTTAAGATCATTGTCTTGGAGTCAGACAAACCTAAGTTTGTGCTCTAGGTGTGCTACTTGGCTAATTTGTTTAATTTCTCTGAGCCTCAGTTTCCTCATTTCTAAATTAGGAACTGTAAAAATATTTATTTTAGACTTGTTTGTGTCTTAGTAAATGAGATAAAGCATTTAAGGTGCTTAACACTGACCTGGTTTATTGAGAGTGCTCAGTAAATACTAAGTTTTGATAACTTAAAATAATTGGGATATGATATTTCCCCATTAAAAAGTAAAAATAGGTATTGGCCACATGCCTACACCTATAATCTCAGCACTTTGGGAGGCCGAGCTGGGAGGATTGCTTGAAGCCAGGAGTTTAAGACCAGCCTAGGCAACATAGTGAGATCTCTATCATAATAAGCAAATAATTTTTTGAAGCATAATGATTTTTCACGTTTCTACTGTGAACATGTGTTACTTTGTGGGATTTTTGTTTTTAGGGATTGGGCCTTGTTCTGTCACCCGCGTTGGAGTACGGTTTTCTGATCACAGCTCACTGCAGCCTCAAACTCCTGAACTTAAATGATCCTCCCACCTCAGTCTCCCACATAACTAGGACTACAGCCATTACTCACCATGCTCGGCTAATACTTTTTATTCTTTTGTAGAGATGAGGTCTCGCTCTGTTGCCTAGACCTGTCTCGAACTTTTGGGCTCAAGCAATCCTCCTGTCTTGGCCTTCCAAGGTGTTGGGATTACAGGCGTGAGTCACCATGCCCAGCCGATCTGGTCTTTATTGGGCTCTCCTTTTTTTCCCCTTTCCTATTTTACTTCTGTCTACTATATGGCACCCTCAAAGACCGAAACAAAGCACCAGAATTAAAAGTAGAGAAGAAGAGAGATGCCTGGCAAGATTGTGTTAACTTGATGCAGATGTTTATAGGGTGATGATTTGGTCATTAGTCCCAAAACTTCCTTCTCCCACCCCAAATAGAGGATGAAAAGTGATTGATGAGTAGTCATATTAACTTTTTGGGTAAATATTAGTTTTAAAAATGTAAGTACAGATAATGATAGAAGCTTAGGGAATTAGAAGACATTAAGACAGTACTTTGAGGCTGGGTTCGGTGACTCAGCCTATAATCCCAGCACTTGGGGAGGCCGAGGCGAGTGGATTGGCTGAGCCCGTGGGTTCGAGACCAGCCCGGGCAACTTGGTGGGACCTCATCTCTACAGTAAAATAAGATTTAAAAATGAGCCAGGCGTGGTAGCGTGTACCCGTAGTTCTGGCTACTTGGAAGGATGAGGTGGAAGGATTGCCGGAGCCCAGCAGGTCAGTGCTGGGGTGACCATGAGTGTGCCACTGCACTCCAGCTTAGGCAACAGAGTGAGACTCCAACTCAAAAATTTTTTTTAAAAAAAGAAAGTGCTTTGAAAGCCAGGTGTGATAACAAGCACCTGTAATCCTAGCTACTCAAGACACTGAGGAAGGAGGATCACTTGAACCCAGGAATTCAAGGACAGCATACATAGTAAGACCTCATCTCTAAACAAATAATAATAACAAATAACTTTATAAAAAAGAAAATACTTTGAATAATCATTAAAGGATAATACTGTGTTTTTCTGACATAATATTTTAATGAAATATTTAATAAGACAGTGGTGAATTAATTTTAATGCTTCTCATTGATAAAACAGTTGGCAATTTTATATCCCGTTTTTTATTGATCTAAGAAATGTGTAAATCTTAAAATTATTTCTTTATAAACAGTTGTTCTTTAAAATGCTATTAATTAATAAACTGTGATCAATTGTATTATTGTTGCCAGCTTTGTTTCTATGGTGAAGACTATAAATGAAAGAATAATCTAGAATTACTTTACCATTCCTATAGCAGGTTTTTCTTAAAATTACTCAGGGAATGAGATTTTGTTTTTAGCCAGCAGTGTTTTAAATTATGGCAGTTTCTTAACAGGTAATAAGGAACTTTTTTTTTTTTTTTGAGTTGGAGTCTCACTCTGTCACCCAGACTGGAGTGCAGTGGCCGTTCCCAGCCACCGCAGCCTCGACCTGCTGGGCTCCAACGATCCTTACGCCTCAGCCTTCCAAGTAGCCGGAATTACAGGCATGCGCTACCACACCCAGCTGATTTTTTGATTTATTGTAGAGATGAGGTCTCGCTGCCCAGGCGGGTCTTGAACCCGCGGGCTCAGGCAATCCACTCACCTCAGCCTTCCAAAGACGCGGGATTACAGGCTGAGCCACCGAGCCTGGCTAATAAGGAACTTTTAAAGGAATGTTTTCTTAATTATAAAAATAGAAAACATGAAAATATTAAAACTACCTCATATTTTCTTGACCCAGAATTAAGAACTGTTTTTTTCTTTCTTTTTTTTTTTTTTAAGAATTAAGAACTATTAATTGCTGAGTCTTATTTTCTCTGTGTATATGTGTGCAGGCTTTGTATAAAACATATACAGTATATGGTATTGTAACTTGCTTTTTTTCACAAATGTAATTTCTAATGGTTCTGTCTTATTCTGCTCTTACTTGAACCATTTAAAGCAGATGTTGGCATAATTTTTCTGTAACATGCCAGATAGTAAATATTTTAGATTTTGTAGGCCCATTGAGCACTAAACAGGCGTGGGCTAATCCTTGAGATAAGACTTTCTAAGCTCACATTTTGTGTCTTACAGAAAAAAAGCGACAATTTGAAATGAAGAGGAAGCTTCACTACAACGAAGGACTGAATATTAAATTAGCTAGGCAGTTAATTTCAAAAGACCTACATGATGATGAGGAAGATGAAGACATGTTAGAGACTGCAGATGCAGAAAGCATGAATACAGAAGAATCAGATCAAGGTTAGATGTTTTAAAAATATCACTGAAATTCTGTGCCTAAGATAATATATTTTGCTTTAAACTTGTGAAAAACTTCAGAAAATTTTGCTGAGACTCACTTTATTATTATGTCAAATGTTTCTAAAATTTCAAGCCCTGTGACCAGTTTCAGAATAATACAAGTTTTTATACCCAGAGTTGATTTGATTTAAGACCATATGTATCATGACTTTTTTAATGGTTTACTTTGCTTTAGGCAAGGGTGTTTGTCTTCATATTAAGATATATTTTGTTTTGAATGGTTCAGGTTATATTTTATTTGTCATAACAATCTAAATTAAAGCTTTTTTTAAAAGAAACATTTTATTATGGAAGATTTGTTTTGACATCCCTGTGGGTATGGAGTAACTTGTTATATATATATCCAATGCTGATTCTTTTGACTGTTGGGTTGACAAGTAATTTGATTTTTTTTTTTTTTAAGCTTTAGATAACCAGTCCCTGCAGCCTAGCAACTCCTGGTCAGTTGTAGAAAATAGATTTTATTTATTTATTTTTAATAAACTATTTGGTATTTAATGAAAGTACATCTTCTGTACCACTAATGAAGAATTGTCTTGTCTATTACCTACTCTTTACACTTGCAAACTGACACTTTTCAGTGGAGGTCTAACTTATTTTATTCATGTTGCCCTGCATGGTTAAGTCTTAGAAAAGTAAATAATTATCATATTACTGTTTTGGTGAGCATGATATGAAATACAATTAATTCTATGATACAACCTGATGAGTCACTGTCTCAAAGTATCAGGATTACAGTATTTTTTTGTTGTTCCATATTATGCTTTAGCCTTTTCCATTTTATATACCATAGTCTGTGCAGCTTATATTTAACTTGAACAGACTTCATTTTAAGTAGTAACTGTTCCATGTCTCTCTTCCTTTTTTAAAATCTATTATTCCTCTTTAGATTAGCTATCTCCTAATTGCCCTAGGGTCTTAGTTTTCCAGTTTACTTGTATCTTGATGGTTTCTTTTGCTGTGTTCAAATAAATGTTTCTTTGGTTATAACTTTTCATCAGCTTCTACCTTTTACTCAGCTCTGCATGATTATGGTAAGGTACTAGGACTACTAGAACTTTATTTGCTGCTGGAAATTTGCACCAGCACTTCTGTGCCAAAGATTAAAAAGGCTGCTTCTTTTTTCTTTTTGAAAAATAACTGTGGCATTTTGTTTATCTCTGCTTATAAGATAACATTTCATACATTTAGTACATGAGTTTTTTCATTTAAGTATAATAGATGATTAAAATTTTTGTTAGTTCAGTGCCTGATTTTTCTTTAGTGGCGATAAAGTACTCCTTACATAGGAGTATGTCCTGCTTCACATCATAAAACCTACAGGGATAGAATAGGACTTAGTACCTTATTTATTCTGTACCCATTTAAGGCCCTTAAAACATTTTATCAGCTTTTAAAATCTCCAGATTCTGTAGAACCCAATATTTTTTGAGCATTGGCAATCTCCTCCCTTCCCCCTTTTCTTCCCCTGTTTTATTGGAGCTATGTGGCATATTTCGATTCTGAAGTGATATTTTATTGTTTGGAGGTAATAAATGTTAATCTTTTTATTGCTTTGGATATTTGAATTGTCATAAACTCTTAGCTTTCCACTTGTGATTTATTTACAGAAATGTTCCATCTGATACCTTTTTGTCTTATCACCAAATAGACATTTCTGTTCTGCTCTTTAGAACACTTAGGGGATATACAGATTCTTTCATTTCAGTCTAATTTAGCCTACATGAAATATACCTTATTTGTTTTTAAATTTTTTCTATTTGTTCATTTATTATCCATGCTAATAGAAAAGAACTTTAGCCAAGGTTGGCAATTTACAACCTATTATGGTCACTTTTTTCTTTTATCTTGCAGGATCTACTCCAAATTACCAACAGCAAGATAAATCACAAAGTTCATAGAAGATACTTGTTCAACACTGCAATTGTTTGTTAAATACAAATCCTGTTGCTATAATACACTGCTTCTTGTTCTCTACAATTCATGACTTAAAGTACCAAATGCATACCAGTTATTATATATTGCCAAGAATTAAATGATGACCTTAGAGATTGATTAGACTGAAAATGCCTACTTGATACAAATATTCTTGTGCCTAGTACTTCACCACAAATACAGTGTAATGTCATTAGTCCAAAACTGCATTACTTTTGTAAGAACACTGGTTAATTTGTATAAGATATTATATAGCTTTTTATGCTTTAGAGGTAAAAACAGTATCTTTGGGGGAGGGAGGGGAACTAATTTATTTTCATCACTTCTAGATATGGTAGCTCTTATAAAAAGTTTATTTTTTTTTAATCAAAAGCCAATTGGAACAACAGGATATATAAGCTGATAAATATTCAGACTGAAGTGTATTTTAACACTTGTCTTCAGTCTGTCCTGTTTAATTGAAAAGGATTATAAGAGTTACTGTTGCATTTCCTGGCCTACTACCTTTAAAATTCCTGTTGAGTTTCTTTGTGTTTACAAGGAAAGGATTGAACTTTTTCTCATCACAACTACCTTTTTTTCAAAAATAAATTATCAGGTTAGACTTGCACTAATGTCTGCTCTTTTTTTTTTTTGAACACTGGGCAGACTGAAGGTTTTTTTTTGTTTTTCCTTTTTTCGTTTTATTCACTTTACTCACCGAAGGAAGAGCCTAACAGATGAGTTTTGGGGTTTTTTAAAAATAAATGTAATTCTACTGTAACTATCTCAGCATTCTCTTTATATACCTGTCTTAACCTCCTGCTTTTGTGTCCTACTCCTTTACATACAAACACACACAACTCTTTACCTTTGAAAGGATCATTAAGATTGTCACATATTGTCTTTCTCTCACATATTCTGTCATTGCTGCAATAATGAAATTCTTTTGATCATCAATGCTGTTAGTTCTAACACATGAAGAAAATAGATTGAGTAGCAGCAGTACTTTAGACAGGAAATACAGTTCAACTGCTGAATTTCTATACCTCTTTGATTTACAGCTTGCTAATTAAATTGGTATTATTAGTTTGTTTGGCTCAATTAGACTTTAGAAAACAACTAACTGAGGTTTTTTTGCATGAAGAGAGAATTGTGTGTAACCAGTGATATGATTGTTCTTGAATGTATAGACAGAAGTAAGCCTGGGCATTTTTTAATTTAAAAACATTAAATAGTCCCTGCTTTAAGGGAATATGATAATGTATACTATGACAAATGTACTTTATTCTTCTAACACAGTAAGAACTATTTGGATTTTTTCCTGAAATATGAAGTGTACAGGAAAGTCCTGTGTATCTTGGTTTAGTGATGGTTTCATTTCTAGTCAAATATTTGTAATTTAATTTTTTTTAGTACCAAAAGAATCTGTTATATGAACAGACTTTTAAAATAATTTCTGTATATTATATATATGAAAAGGCTTTTATTGAACAGCTTATCTTCCACTTGTAAGTTTATGGAAATATCAGTGTGTCAAAATAAATTAAAAGTGGGAGGATTCTTTGCTGTTAGAAGAATGTGCTTGTTATTTTGAATGTTTTTTGAATGGGATCTAATCAGTGTACCTCTGAACTATATGTGCAGTAAACATTTTAGCTAGTAATACCACTGATTATAAACAAAACAGTGTTTATCACTGCTTTTTGAATTTAGAGTGTTGGGGTTATCTGTTTAAACCTGTTTGGGGGAATGTGGAGATTAAGTCTATACATGTGTGTGTACATATGGTCATGCACCCAGACCTCTGATTTTGGTTTACTCATTTTAAGTTCTTAAGGCTGGTCTCAAACTCTTGGGATCATGCAGTCCTCCCTCATCAGCTTCCCATAATGCTCGGATTACAGGTGTGAGCCACCGTGCTTAACCTATAAGACTTTTTAGAAACTAATTCTTTTTGTGTTTTCTACAAACTGTTTTTGAAACTTAAAATCACAAGTGGACTCATTTCTGGTTTCAGAAAGTCGATAATTATCTCAGGAGTAAGTAAGACATTTCAAATAGCATGCTCAGTAGGATTTTAGGTAGGCAAATGCAACTGAGTAAAAATATTTTCATCAAGGTATGAGTTCCTAATAGACTTGATACTGAGCTAGTCAAAAAATGAGCCTTTATGATTCAAATTAGATTTTCCTTCGGAGAAACTTACCTGAATATTCAATTCTAATCAAGATAGATTTTACTTTCAATGTTTTAATCAGTACTACTTCCTCTGCTTAACTCTTTGGTGTCACCTTGTCTATTTATTTGTTAGTATAAAACTCTACAGGGATGAATTTTAAAATCAGAGACATAGTGGTATAAGAGTTACCTTAAGTTGAAGATTAAAGCAAAATGCCGTATCCCCCAGACTTTGATTTTGTTTACATTTTTTCCCTTTAAGTTAGTATACACTACACATATTATAATAAAATACAATAATATGACAATTGCCGGTGTGTGAATTTTATTTTCTTGATAACCAGCTCTCTCAAGACCATAATCCATTGACCAAATGTTCTGGATACCAGTAGTGTATCTTGGATTACATTGTGACAGTAGTTTGTTTAATTTTAATAGAAATGATAACAAGAGCTACCATTTATTGAGATTCTATTTGCTCTTGCTCAGCATTGTGCTAGAATCCCTGTGTCTAATCCTTAAAATTACCACACAAAGCAGGCATTCTTCTCTGTACTTTCTAAGTAAGGAAATGCTCTTGGCCAAGTTACTTAGTTTCAATGTCACATGCATGCTAAATGCAGGATGCAAATCCAGCTCTAACTAAATGTCATGGTCTTTATTCATGCTTTTTTGGATGTAGAAAGCTCATTTTAGGAATTACACTTTACAAATTTATTTGGATTATTGATACATACCATATGCTTTAGGGAGTAACATTTTTCAGGTGTTTAGTTGGAATTTATTTTCATTTTAATCTGAAGAATTAAAAATAATTTAATTTTGTTTGCAGTTTTTGTGCCATTTAGGAAAAATATCTCAAAAGCACAAAAAGTCAGTGGCTGGAGATGAATGAATGTGATTTGTTGTGTTTTGCAAGTTCATTTCTAAGCAAGTTGTTTTAAGCACGGAGTGTGATTTTTTTTTTTCATGGAGTCAGTATTAAAAAGTCAACTACCAAGCCAGCCTCTAAAACCCACCATGTACCTAAATGAGAATTTCCCAGTGTGTTCCATAAAACCCTTATCCCACAATATGCTCTGTGAAAATGATTTCACGAGCAAATAAGTTTTGCACATGCTATATACCTTTATTTCTCCACTCCCTTGCAGACTCATAATGATGCACATTATCATATTAAAGGATCTGAGAAGTCCCACATGTAAGGAGTCCCACACATGTAAGAAGTCCCACATGTAAGAAGTCCCACATTTAAAACTTAGTTTATGGCCAGGTGTGGTCACTCAACACTTGTAATCCCAGCACTTTGGGAGGTGTAGACAGAAGGATCATTTGAGCCCAAGAGTTTGAAATCAGCCTGGGCAACATAATGAGACTCTGTCTCTACGAAAAAAAAGAAAAAGAAAACTTAGTTTCAACTTTTTCAAACCAATTTCACTATAACTACCCTGTCTTGTCCATCAAATAACATCCCAAGTATGGCAATAGGCTAGGGTCTCTAATATCATATGAAAGTTGAACTTCCTCCTAAAAGAGGAAGGGAATGGTTTATCATTGAAAGAGGGAAGACATGGTAGCGATAACCACAGTATTTGTGGATTGTCTATAATGTGCCAAACAGAAGACTTTAATTTTTGGTAACTTATGCTATAAACTGCAAAATAGTAACCAGGACAGATGGGGGTGTTGTTGATGTGGTTGACTGTAAGCAGCTGTGGTTTAGTACTGATAGAACTATTGCTCCAAGACTTGCTGCTCTAAGCAGTTTTCCAAAGCGTCTTGTACTCGCCATCAGCTCTTGCATAGCTGGTTGACAGAAGCACATCTGTTACTCATTAGGAAAATAGAAGAGCAGATAACAAGTGCCTCTGGTCTGTGGCTCACACCCCCAGCCTTGGTTAGTTGCCCCGGCAAAGTGGTTTTTGTTTTTGGCTCCTAACTTTAAATTTGGGTTTGACTCATCTAGTTTTTTATTTGAGGAATTATTTGGGGGAGGTAATATTGAGAGTAGGTAAGTGATGGGTGGATTTGGCAAGTGTTCAGTCATGATTTTATCTCAACTGCCCAACCTGAAATGTTTTTCAATAAGTCTGCCAAGTGTTCAGCATTTCAGTTCTATTACCAATGGGAATTGTTGGAATTGGAAGAGAACACCTATAAATTGTTCCTTTCTATTTAATTTTTTTCTTATTGGTGACCGTGCTGACTAGAAATAGAAGAGGAATGTGCAGGAATATCTTTGTATCTCAATATCATTTGACCTCCACTTTTTAAGCAAAGGGGATTATAAGCAACTTTGCAGTATGCATTGTTCTAATGAAATGGTTTCGTCTGAAAAGTGTTGTTAACAATAGTAGCCCTAACAGACATGGGAAGAAGGAAGATTAGTTACACTCTTGTTCAGTTATGCTCCTTCGTCTCTGAAGTAACCCTATAATAAGCATTTATTTAAAGACAATACTGTATCTTCATCTCTCTAAAAGAGACTCCCAATTGAAAAATAAGCAAGCACTTTGTTGAAGGGCATCATGCCAAGCTAAATTGGTAAATACGGACATAAGATTCTTTCCCACTTTTTAAAGAGTTTCAAGTTTAGATGTACATACAGAGCGGAGAGATAACACTGCTCTGAGGGAGCAAAGAGGGAGTTAAGCATACACCCTTCTCCAGGCATTCTGAGGAGGCCCTTCTGGTAGATGAGACTGAGAAGGTTGGGCTAATTAATTAGGAAAAGATTGCTGTTTAGCAGAGTTTTATGTGGATTTTGTTAAAATCAGATTAAGATCTCTAGTTATCTACCACAAAATTGTTACTAAGCAAGATAGAAAGTTCCCACAAAAATAAGAAATATCAGCCAGGCATCATGGCTCACACCTATAAACCTAGCACTTTGGGAGGCTGAGGCAGGTGGATTGGTTAAGTCCAGGAGTTCCAAGACCAGTCCTGGCAACATAGTGAGACCTTGTCTCTACAAAAAATTTAAAAATTAACGGAGTGTGGTGGCACACACCTGTAATCCCAGTTACTGGGAAGGCTAAGGCAGGAGAATCCTCTGAGCCCAGGAGATCAAGGCTACGATGAGCCACAATTGTGCCACTGTCTCCAGCCTGAGCAACAAAGACTTCAAGCTAAAAAAAATCAGAAATGTCAAATGATTTTTTTTTTTTTAACACCAAACCCTAATACAAATGTTGGAGTGAAGAAGTTGAAGCAGAATTGGTGAATTGTTGCCAATTTAATTTCTGCTGCCATTTCAATAATCCCTGTTAGCTTTTTTAGGGGCAAGGGGCAGAGCAAGGAAGGGCTAGGTCAGAACCACAATATGGGAGTTCCACCCTAGCTTGAAACTATCTTGGGAAATGTGCTCTGGTTCAGTGCTAACTTTGAAAAGCAAATTGGTAGCCAGGCTTGGTGGCTCAGCCTGTAATCCCGCGCTTTGGGAGGCTGAGGCAAGTGGATTGCCTGAGCCCGACCCTCCTGGGCAACTTGGTGAGACCTCATCTCTACAATAAATCAAAATGAGCCGGGCGTGGTAGCGCACGCCTGTAGTTCCAGCTACTCGGAAGGCTGAGGCGGAAGGTTCGCCAGAGCCCAGCAGTTCGAGGCTGCAGTGGCCGGAAGCGGCCACTGCACTCCAGTCTGGGCAACAGAGTGAGACTCCAACTCGAGAAAAAAAAAAAAAGCAAATTGGTTCCGGCTTTCTCCAAGCAGGCATGTCTGAGGAGTTGTTTCGTTTTGTTTTGTTTTTGGTTTATAGAGTCTCACTATGTTGCCCAGGCCAGAGTCCAACTTCTGGGCTGAAGCAATCCTCCCATCTCAAGTCTCTGGAGTAGCTGGGACTACAAATGAGCACAGCCATGCCCAGCTTTGAGTATCTGAGTTATTCATGGTAATTTGTGAAGAATATAATCCAATCTAGAAGTCTTAAATTCAGACCACGACTGGGGTAGGAGTGGAATTTGATTGGATTACAAAGTGAATTCAACTCAGCATAGAATTTTCTATCATTCTAAGCTTCAAGCATTGTTCTGTATACCTAGACTAACATCATCAAGAATTTTATGGACTGAATGAGGCACACACATCAAAGTGTAAAGCTGAGGGGGAAATATGTTTATTTTTAAGAACATTATTAAACATTTTAATAAATGCTTAATAGCATGGAGCCTGGACAACATAGCTCTCGTCTCTACAAAAATTTTTAAAAATTTGCTGGGCATAGTGGCACATGCTTGTAGTCCTACTTACTCAGGAGGCTGAGGGAGGAGGACCACTTGAGCCCAGAGGGTCAAGTCTGTGGTGAACTGCGATTGTGCCACTGCACTCCAGTCTGAGCGACTGAGTGATATGTCTTCTCGAAAAAACACCAGATGTGTGCCAGGA